CAAAGAAGTAATAAAAACTAGCATCGTAAATAGTGACAAAGAAGAATAAGATGCTATCGATGAAGAAAAGGAGACCAAAGAAGATGACCAGCCAATTAAGAAACCTGACACNCAATTCGCATCAAAGTTCAATTTTACAACACCAAAGTTAATTTTTACAACGTCAAAGTTAATCTTGACAAAGTCAATATTTCCCTATTTTTACAACGTCAAAGTTAATCTTGACAAAGTCAATATTTCCCTATATATACAGCAAGGAGCACTGACGATGATTCATTCGGAATCGAAATATGGCCTTATTTGCAGCATGAATTCGAAAAATAAGTTTATTTTGAATTTTAATAAACTAAACGTTCACCAAAAAACTTTAGTGAGAAAAATCGAAAAAACGAACTACAAACATATTAACGCCAAACATTCGGTAGAATTTATAGAATATTAGAGAGAGAGAGAATATAACATTGTTATATTTTATATATGGGAGAATATAACATTGTAATATTCTATATATATATGTATATATATATTTGTAAATTTCGGTAACAAATTTTCATTTAAGCATATTTCATTAAACGTTTGTTTAATGAAATATTGTGACACCTAATTCGCATCAAAGTTCAATTTTACAACACCAAATTTTTACAACGTCAAAGTTAATCTTGACAAAGTCAATATTTCCCTATATATACAGCAAGGAGCACTGACGATGATTGACATTCGGAATTGAAATATGGCCTTACTTGCAGCATGAATTCGAAAAATAAGTTTATTTTGAATTTTAATAAACTAAACGTTCACCAAAAAACTTTAGTGAGAAAAATCGAAAAAACGAACTACAAACATATTAACGCCAAACATTCGGTGGAATTTATAGAATATTATAGAGAGAGAGAGAATATAACATTGTTATATTCTATATCTGGGAGAATGGGAGAAAGGTAGTGTGATAATATCGTATGTCAGACGGGCATATTCACACAGCTCTGAACCACTTGAGTTTCGTAAAGAACTCGATAAAATAAAACAATTCCTTGTCAACAATAATTTTAACAATCCAACAATAGATAAAATAATGACCAATGAAATTAGAAAGATTCAAAATAATAATATTAAGGTAAATGATAACAATGAAAACGTTAAAAACAACTCAAGTTATAATCACAATGTAACCGACAATGATAACCACGTTTCTATCGATCATAACAGCCATAACAACACAAGCAACAACAACACAATAAACAACACAAACAACAATAACGACAATATAAGTGATAATAACACGAACAATAATGATAGACGTATTATCAATGATCATGATAATGATAACACAAATAACAACGAAAACAATGGTAACCATGTTACTATTGCACAAGTCATTGTCGATAACCTAATCAACAACGACAACCATGTTATTTCCAATAATCTTGTCAGTAATGTAAACAACTCAAACAACGACGTTGTTGCTGATCATGTCGGTGACAATGATGCAAACTCTATTACCAATTCCAACAACAATAACAGCGACAATAACGATGACCATGTGGATCATGACAATGATAACAACACAATCAATGACAACCTCGTTATCGCAAACTCCATTCATAACAATAACAACAACTCAAACAACAATACTGACAGTGCAAAATTAACTTTATTTTATCGTAACTTAATGAGCTCTTCGTATAAAGAAGACGAATATATAATTAGAAAAATCATTAAAAAAGAAGTCCATCCAGTTGATTCTTATGGAAAAATAAACCTTCTTATTTATTATAAAAATTTTAAGTCGCAACAACTACTAATAAAAAATAGTCCCAACGTTAAACTAACAACAACACAGCACTCCAACGTCATCTACCAATCTCAGTCTGTTTATAAATTTATTGGTAGGAAGAATTCCAATCGCCAGTTGTTGAATATTTTTTGTCCTATGTCTTTGTTGTATGAGTATTGATTCGGCTAGTCGTAAATTATAATGGTTGTTATTGTAATGTAAGATTTCAATATTGTGATCCAAGATTTGTCTAGTAATTTTAGTTGTGTTTCTCTTTCATGTGATTCTTTATAGCGCCAGTTTGTACGTGCATCGTGAGTATTCTCGATAACTTGGTCGTCGTCATACCAATATATTCAGAATTATGGTTCCCACACTCAGAAGAGTGCGTGTAGGCTAGGTTGTGTATGTAAATTGTTTCTAAAATTTTAGGTTGAAATTGTGCGATACAGTGTATTTGTGTTATTGAGTATCTCTCTATTAATTGCTGTTCATGGTTATCGATTAAATGATTTTTATTCCACCTCTTTGTGTATGCATAGTTAATCTTTGTGTCATTGTGATAGTAGTGTGTCCGATATATTCTGAGTAACCGGGCAGCGTGATTTAATCGATTATATGAACATCATTCGATAGGTAATTAAAAACTAAATTCATGGTTTAAACATGGATATATATTATAATATGGATATGGCAAACGTGTTATATATATATATATATACATTGTTCATATATATATATATATATAACATCAAGGTAAATCTAACAAATATATATTGAAAAGTGAATTTAAATAAAAGTAAACAATCAGTTTTTAGCCGGTTGTTTAGCGATTATCGTTCTAGTTGCTTTTTTTTGTCAATTTATTGACATTTAATTAAAAAATTTGTCTATAGTAAGACGTTTGATCGTAAAAAATCAATAAAATGTCAATTACTACAAAAAAATGTTTAATGTTTACGCGTTCAATACCATAGAACTAAGCAAATTTATTAGGCAGGTAACAATTCTTATGCCATATCTATTTTATCCATGAGTTTAAATGAATTTTGCTTCATTGGACAATTTTTTAGTTGATTTTTTTGAAAGTTTAATTATATTTATAAAAGTGTATGCGCTCTGCGTTTGACAAAGCTGCATTATAAAGAATTTTTTTTAAATTCAAAGATATTTATCTCAACTGAATAGACAACTTTAATCTCTAAAACAACCATGGATATAATGGATATGGCATAATAATTGTTACCTGCATGGATATAATGGATATGGCATAAAAATTTATTACAAAAATTGTTTTTTGTTCTATGGATCAAGCATCGTCGTTGTCTTCTTCAGCGTCTTTGATTAATCGTCTGATCTGAAATTATCGCTTGCTTAGTTTTTGCCTAGTTTGCTGTTTTAAATTCGATTTCGTATTGCATTTTATATATTATATACTATATTTAGTACATTTAAAAAAAAAAAGGGGTTAGTATAATTTTCTGCATTTATACATTTCGTTTTACATTTTACATTCCTACATACATACAGTATACAATACACATACATAAATAGTTAAGTACACATGACATGACATTGAGATTAAATTATTAGAGAATCTTAATTCTTAACTTGTCAAAATAATATTAAAAACAATAATACATTTATAATTAGAAAATATTTGCTTAGTATTCGATTTGACAGACACAGATTCTCGACCAAATCAAAATGCCTGTGTGTTCCATTACAAAATTCCACTCATCTTATTTAGATGAAAATGTTACTTTACACAGGTTAATTTAATTTAGATTATACTATACATACACTCTATACTATAGCTATAAAGTTTAACACTATACAATATAATTATAATTATCAGCAAACAATTATATATAATAATATAATATAATAGTAATAAATATTATTAGTAACATAATAAAATATAAATGCATTAAATGGTAATGTTAACTCAAAGGTGTATAAATAATTTGTGCTGATATTAAGTTAAATTTCAATTCAGGCTGCCAAAGAATGATATTAAGTAGAATGCAATGGGAAAACCTCATTAAAAAATACATTGACAATTACGATGAAAAAAAAAGATTTTAATTTGTAGCAAACATTTTACACCGGAAAGTTTTCATAAAGTTGGTTTGAAAATTTTTCTTCAAAAAGATGCTTTTCCAACGATATTTGACAAGGTTGGTGTTACGTATATAAAAACCAATCATTTCAAGTTTCAGTTGTAAAATTTAAATGTTTTTAAAGTTATAATTTTGAAATTAGGATATTGTTGTCAGGATAATTTTTCTGAAGTGTTCTTTATTTATGTTATGATTTATTATATACCAAAAATAAACTTATTTTAATTTTTTAAGTTTGTAACCAATAATCTGGTTCTATCATAAATTAAACATTTTGTATTTTTAGCCTTCTTCAGATAATATTTCTGCAACGTCAATAACTGATGTGATGTAAAATTTGGTTCGTATATATATATATATATATATATATATATATATATATATATATATATATATATATATATATATATATAAAGATTGTGTTACATTTTATTTTTAAGCCACCAAGTATAACAAATTTCAGTTTTTATCAAACATTTTTTAAAATTTGCTTTGCGTTAAGTTTTGTTATATTTATATTAAAAATAAGAAACATGTTTATGTGTTATGTATAAGATAGAAACATAATTAAACATTTGTCCTGTCGTTCTGTCCGGAGTTATCACTTCAAAGATATTAATTAGATGCCTTGCAAATAATAACATATATTCAAAAACGTCCAGTGTTAATAAAACTTTAATAATTTAACATTTCAGTTACCCTCAACATCATTTATTAAATCTCAAAAAACATTTAACAGATACATTTAATGGATTAAATAATCATTATTTTTGTTTACTTAGACTTATTGCAAAAACATATATAAATGTACGTTCATTTCATTTCTCAAAAACCACAAATCAAATAAAGATCCGTTCTAAATTTCATAAGTTAATACATTTCAAGGGACAATAAAATCATTTATCAATAAAAAGATTTTTCAACCATTTGTAAATTTTGAATTGTTTAATTTATTTAGTCATTATATTTGTTTCATATATACATTAAACATTCTTTTGCTATATATTGGTAAAATCTGTATTTTTTATATGGTTATTATGTTTTCATAAAACCCGTCACTCTAACATCTTCATTATTTTATATTTCATTTATTTTTTATCTATGAAATCATTATTTTCAACATATTTTAACATACTTTAACATACTTCAATCATATTTCATTTCTAATTGAGTTTTCACATTTGGTTCATTCAATTGAAACAATAATGCACCAAGAATTATTTCAATTCTTCATTGTTTTGGAATTTGTTTTTTCGTTCAAAACATTTAACAATTGACCTTCAATTTTTTATTCCTGTCATAATTAGTTTTTGAAATTATGTTGGCGACAAAAAATTTTTAATATTGTAAATGTAAATCAAACCCCATTAATAAAAAATGTTCATTATACCTTTTTATACATTCATCAACTATCAATCAATCAATCTTCGTTTTGCGTCCAGACCCGGATTCCCGAGGTAGGACGTTGTTCTCTTTGCCGTCAACTTTTTGCGCCAAATTAGACGATCAGTTGTATCCATTTCATTTAAATTTAAAGCTTTCATGTCTTGCTCAATTGTGTGCGACCAGGACTTCTTTGGACGGTCTTTGGGACGTGTGCCAGGTACTTCAACATCTGCAAGAGAAGTTATGGCACTGTTTCCACTTCGTTTGACATGACCAAACCACCGCAGACGGTGTTGCCGGCATTTGTCCTTTATAACATCTAAACCAGCACGACGCAAGTTTTCGGTAGATTTGATGTGGTCCTTCAGACTAATTCGTTGCATCCATCGGAGCATTTTCATGTCGGTTCGTTGAAGTTGTTGTTCCAGTTTGGTTGTCATTGGCCATGTTTCTGCACCATATAACAACACCGGACGTATCACAGATTTAAAAAGTTTTGATCGTAATGGTAGTGGGATGTCACGCCGCATCAATATAGAGGCAAGGAGATGCCATTTATTCCAGGCTGCACGTATGCGTGCTCGAACGGCAGCTTCAGCTGTTCCAGTACAATCCAGAACATCCCCTAGATATTGAAACGATGTGACTTTCTCTACCTTAATGGCTTCAAAAACATTGCTATTTCGAATTTGTTGTTGTGGATTGATGCAAGCAGGACAAACAAAATTGGACACTTTAGATAAAGTACCAATTATTTTTGAACGTTTGTGACCAATAGTTACACTGCTGACACTTGATTGAATTGTTACCTACACCAGCTTTACAAACTGAACAGGGCTATCGTCCAGTAGCTGTGGATTGGATGGGTTCATCAGTGTTCATTGCTTTGGTTTTGCTGATGTTGACTTTGAATCCATGATCGGCGAGTCTGGTGTTCCAGACCTTCAAAGCATCTGCTCAGAAGTGGCTGTTAAAACGATATCATCAGCATATACTAGATTCCAAATGTCACCAGTGCGTATCGGTTTTGTGATTTCTTCCATCACAGTTATAAATAACAGTGGACTGAGAATCGAGCCTTGGTGAACTCCAACGCCGATGTCAAATGCATCTGTGTTTCCAACCGTTGTGCTGACAAGAGTCTTAGTATTCGTATACATTTCCATCATATGTCGAACAAGATATTCTGGAATGAGTTGTCGACGTAGACTCCACCTGATTGCTTCATGGGGAACTCGATCAAATGCTTTTTCAAGGTCTACAAAAATGTGTGATAGTTGTTGACGCTTTGCAAGGTACTTCTCTTGCAGTTGCCGAAGGATGTGAATTGCATCAATTGTTGATTTCCCGGCTAGGAAACCAAATTGATAATTTCCGATTGTGATGCACGACGTTAATCTTCTCTCAATGATTTTTTCGACAATTTTCAGGGAGTGTTCTAACAGACGTATACCCCGATATGATGAACAGTTCAATGGGTCACCTTTGCTTTTGTATAGCGGGACTGTCGTGCTATAGTTCCATTCAGTCGGCATTGAGCAATTTTTCCAGATTTCACGGCAAAGTTGTAGTAACGTTTGGATACCTGCAGATATATTCATCAACTAACAAAATTATTTTCAAGACCTTCTTTACCTAACATGTATGCCTTTATATCCAATCATTTAATGTTATCAAATTTTTCATTTCAATTTAAACATGCATTTTTTAAATCTCTTTATAACATTCAGTATTTTTTCTGCAAGAGTTTATTATTGCATTCTCATCTGCAATTGTAAATATCTGATCATTAATCTACATCATAATTTTACCACAGCAATATATTAACTAGTTTCAAGTCATCATTATATCAACTTTTTTCATTCCAGAATGTAAAATTATCAGTTTTAACTCTTTCCTTAAAATTATCAGTTTAACCATTTCCTTACATTATTCGTCATTTTTATAATTTATTTTTTTATCTAATTCATTTTTTCATACAAAATATAACTTTTATTGAGATAAACTTTAAATAATGTTATATCAATTGGAAGTTTTTATGGAAAAAAGATCATTTCATTTTATTTACATTTTTTAATAAAATTTTTTTAAACATTTGTGTCTCTTTGTTGTCAATTTAGTTGCCATTGACTTACGTAAATGATTTGCACTTAAATATAAAACTATCCTTATTTTAATCGCTAAAAGTAAAGTATTGAAAATACATTTAAAAAAAATTTATTTAAATATTATTTATTTTACCACTGATTAAATGTAGATTTAACACAGTTTGTTAAAAACAGTCCATGTACAATGTATAGGCAGATTAGTCATTAATTTAATTTGGCTTTCATCAATAACTAGAAATTATTAAAATTGAAAGCAGACATTTTCTCATTTTTATATATACAATGCAAATTCAAGAGACAACATGAAAGTATATGAAATTTGGTTCAGCTTCAGATGATTATTATATATTCAAAAAAAGGTACTCAAATGTATGATTGTCAGCTATTGTTATTACAGTAATTATGAGCAGTCATACATTTGGTATACATTCTCATGAATATACATATCACGTTTACAACATTAATAAAATAAAACGTAAAGACAAATTATTATAAATGAATGATTGTGATTATCAGAATATCCATTGCAGAGCAGAGTGAGAGATAACAGTGCAACTTGTAATTTTGGAAATTAGTGTCAAAAAAGCCCAACGCAACTGAAACACACCAGCAACGTTAGCAATCAAACATTACCAACTTATGTTGCTAGTTTTTTAAAGCGAAATTCTTATTTGGTAATAACCTAACTACTGAAGCTATGACGATAATCGAAAACTAGACGATATTCTAAACATAGATAAAACGATAAATCTATCGGGAGTGCGGGCCGCACGCCGACCATGAACTTGTTAGACTGCTATAAGACGTGCGTACGAAAAAATATGTTCAAAAATTATTTTTTATGCCGAATATTATTTTAAAAAGTATTTGTAAAAACTTCCGTTACTTACAATTGAAAATAAATTTGAAAAAAAATTTTTTTTTAATAAATTTTTATTTGCGCGTCGTAATACTATTATTTATTTTCTTTGGCAAGAGTTCATTTTCCTTCTTCTTTCAGTTGTGAGCGGCGAGGCTTTTGAAGATTCGCTTGATTTTTATTGTTTTGTTTGATATAATTTATTTAAATAAAATTTGTTATTTTATCTTTCTAATTTGAGAAAATGAGTTCCGAGTCATTAAAGTTTGGAGATGGATTTGTGAATGTTGAAAAAGCCGTTGATGTAATAGAAAGTTTCCTTGTTGTGTGGTTGCACTGCAGCAGTTTATGTGGCATACTGCAAAAATCGGAAGGTAGTAATAAAAATTAAATTGAAATATTTATGATTAGTGATAATAAAATTTTGTTTATTGTTGTATGTTGGGTTAGTGTGATACTTTAAAAATTGAAATGAAGTTTTTAATAATGATTAATCATTGGGCTGGTAATTAAATTTTGTTATTAATAGTTATCTGAAGAAACAGCCAAAAACTGTGTTCAGACGGATTGCATAGCATCAATTAACGAAGTTAAAGAAATAATTTATCCAAGATGCACAGATGACCGTGCTGTCCAACATATGTCCACCTTGAAACAATATTTTTCCAATGAAGCATGGACAAAATTAGAAAATAAGATGTGGTCAATTGGACAAAATTTGTATGTTTGTGTTGTTTGTAGACATCACTCTGGAAGAGACCATTAAACTCGTACTTCGGGGGTGCAGTGTGATGGCTGCGTAAACTGGTACTGTTCATGTGTTGAAATGAAAAGGCTACCAAAACGGACGTGATTTTGTCGACAGTGTTGACATAAAAATCTTGGGTCTTTTGGTAACTGTTTCGTCTTAACACATGAACAATGTACCCGTGTGCATTACTGTGTAAATATGTGTGTTTGTCTGTGTGTGTTACTATAAGACACTAGATGCAATAAATTTTTTATTTTAAAAATTGTCATTCTATAACAAAAATGCTTTATATTGTCTTAATAAACGTCAAATTTTGCGCTTTGACTGCGTTCTGTATCGTCAAAATAGCGTCAACTTTGTTGTACAGACTTTGGCCATCTCAGCGTCGAATTCGTAGTGCGAGTCTCACGCTTTACACCCTTCAAATGTATTTGCCCGCTCGTGATTCGCACGCCTTATAGCATCTTAACAACGAATTCGACGTGCAGATGCTTAACGATTTATAATTTAAAGCGTCGTATTTACCCTCGAATCGCACGCCTTAGAGCATCTCAACGTCGAATTCGCCGTGCGGCCTCACGCCTTATAGCATTAACACGTTCAATTAGCCGTGCGGATTTTTCACGCCTTATAGCATCTCTGCGGCGTATTCGCCGTGCGATTCCGCACGCCTTATAGCACTGACCTAGATAAAAAGCTAAATATTTTTTAAAATTAATTTTTTATTGATGTTTTTGGTTCTATGGATCAAGATTTTTTGCAAAAATTTATTTTAACCGATGTATGAATATATTTATATACATATGAAATTTGCCATATCCATTATATACATCCATGGTTACCTGCTTAATAATTTTTCTTAGTTCTATGAAATTAAACGCGTAAACATTAGACATTTTTTCTTAATGATTTTTACGATCAAGCGTCTTGCTATCGTATTTTATTGTTAAACTTTAGACAAATTTTTTAATAAAATGTCAATAAATTGACAAAAGCAACTAGGACGATAATCGCTAAACAACCGGCTAAAAACTGATTATTTACTTTAATATATGTAACCACGTTGTTGAAACTCAGTTTCATCTAGTTTTTTCATTAAGGGTTTGAAGCAGAGGTTGAAGAGCAATGGGGAGACGAGATGGGTGGAGTCAACTGATCGCAACCGGAAACTGTAATGGTGTAGTTGGCATATATAAATTAAATTATTTATTTGAAGCAGGATATGATTGTGATCCATGATTGATGAGATTAGGCCATGACTGACTTCACCAAAGGCATTTCGCAAATCCAGAAGTGTGATGATCATTGTCTTCTGGTGCCTTTTTGCGTCGTTGATCACGTGAGTTAAGAGCTATGTGTGCTCAGTCAGTCTACTTTTGGGTAGAATTCTTTTTGTATGTTTTTTTTGATCATTTTGTTTGATTCGAGAAAGTTTTATAGTCTACTGTTGATGAGTGAAGAAAATATTTCGTAGAGCGTTGATTGCAGGGTTATGAGTCTGAAATTGGTCGGATCTCGAGCATCTCCTTTTTTGTAAATTAATATTGTGAACCCCTTTTTCCAGCATGAAGGGATTTTAGAGGATGCCCAGCATTGTGTTAGTAGTTGAAGCAAAATGGTACACAATATTGGGCATTTTTGAAAGAGATAACTGAGATCTGGTTAAGCGGGCAAGGTGATGATTTTGATTTGTATTTGTAGACTATTTCTGCAATCTCTTGGTAAGAAGGGGGACTGGTATTGAAGGGCGTAGCTGGCAATAGAAGATTTTGTATCCATTAAGGAAACTGACGTTTTTGAAATGATTTGAGCCGTTTAGTATATTTGTGAAGTATTTGTAACATTCATCGACGTTGAAAAGTGGTCTCAAGTTTTTTGTTGTGGCGCTGCCAGGCTACGCCGCGGTGTCTGATTTTTTTCTGCACATTTTGAAAACTTCATCGACAATAGTTTTGAACGTAGAGTTTTGCTTATGTTAATGGTTTGATTGTCGAAGTAGTTTCTTTAAGATGTTTAAGTTCCTTTTTTATGATCCTTGATGTTTTTGTTTGTAATTTTGTTTTGGTCAGTTTGCGGTTTTACAGAGCCGTAATTTTGAGCAAAATAATTGTATATCTTCTTTTGAAATGCAATTTTGAATTTGTCTATGTTGTTGAGACTTGGTAGTAGTTTGTATTGTAGCTGGAAGAAGACATTGGCTTCAGACCATTGTACTGGCGTTCTTGGCAATTTGACGCCTGGGATAGCTGATTCCGTTGCATCAACAGCTGACGATGACAATTACCGGTGGTTTGGAGTAGAAATTATTTTATCTGGCGATGTTGGTTGTGATGCGGTGTCACTGTTGCTGTCCGTTGAGTCCTGGGGTAAGTGAAACGTTTTGTGCATTTTGCACGAGCGTTGGTGCATAGTTAGACCTTTACGACCCTTGCACATTTTTTCACAGAAACATGATATTAAATTATTATTTTCAATATTAATGGAGTGATTGTCAAAAGAATTCGAACTGTAAATGTTTGGCAAAATATTAACGTTAGACTTTTCAAGTGAGCGAACAACACTAACGTTAGAATATCCAGCATTCATAGTATAGAGCCAGAAGTGTCTACCAACGTTAATAAATATTTTATTGCAGTACAGACATTTATTTAAATTTACGCTATATATTCTTTTAATTAAGAAAATTATAATTAAATAAAAAACAGTATAAAACCAAAATTTTAAAAATGTCGCCGTAATCCACCGAATTATTTTTATCAATCAATCAATCAATTAGCTTATAAAGCGCTATTTCCGCGATGTTCAACAGAGCTCCTCAATGAATTTTGAAAACAGATGGGTCTTGAGATCCGCTCTGAACTTCGCAAGTGATGGAGAAGTAGTCAGAGAAGTAGGTAGAGAGTTCCAGAGAAAAAGACCAGAAAAAGCAAAAGCAGATTTGGCAAAAGAGTGTTTAACACGAGTTAAGAAAAAGCGAGAAGAAGAAGACGATCGTAAACCGGGGCGTTTAGGTTCAATTAATATATCTGATAAATACTTAGGAAATAATTTAGATTGAGATCTATACATGAACGTGCAAATTTTTAAAATTATTCTATATTTTATAGGTAGCCAGTGCAAGAGAACAAGATATGGAGATATATGAGAAAAGAAAGGGGCACGAGCAAAGAGAACAAGATATGGAGATATATGAGAAAAGAAAGGGGCACGAGCAACTAGACGAGCAGCAGAATTAAAAGCTTTACTTAAAGGATCTCTCTCGAGAATTAGAAGTTAAAAAGAAGATAGTTCAAGACTTGTCGAATTCCATCTCTCTCGAGAATTAGAAGTTAAAAAGAAGGTAGTTCAAGACTTGTCGAATTTACCAACATTTAAAGGATAGAGTATAGTCAGGAAGACCATAGTAGAGCGAGTTACAATAATCAATCCTAGATAAGACTAACGAAGTAACAAGAAGGAGAAGAGTAGGATCATCAAGAAATGGCAAAAGTTTTTTTATTCTACGTAGATGAAAGTAAGAGCTTCTAGCAACACTATTAATCTGAGAAGAGAGATACATAGTAGAATCAAAGATAAAACCTAGACTACGAAACTTATGAGAGACATCAAGAGTTTTAGAATCAGGTAAGATAATAGGAGGAATAGTAATAGAGTGTTTAGATTTATTAAAACAAATTAATTGAAACTTAGAAGGATTAAGTTTAAGACACATAGAGTCAGACCAAGCAACCATAGTTATGGTTGTGCCCAGATGCTCAAATATTTTCATACTGAGCATAAAAAAATATTTGAGCATCTGGGCACAACCCCAACATATCAATTCCGTTCTATCATGCATAAAATATACAAAAATTTTGGTTTTGAACTAAAAAAAACTTGAAAATGATTTATGATCAACCGTTAGATAAATCGAAAAGTTTAATTGTAAGTTAACTAACGCCGAACATGCTGTGATTTTCATCAATAATTGCATTTCTGACAGTCTTATTCCAATATATATATACAAAATCATCATTATGAAAGAGGATTTGAAACAAGTAAAATTTTTTGAGCTCAGGATGAACAGTAAAATAAGGAGCATAAACATAAGATTTTTCAGAAAAGGAGTTCAAGATCGATAAAGCAAATTTTTCAGCAACAGAGTTGTCAACGAGCGAAAAAACTGGGATATGAAATAATATGCGCAGAAACAACCAATAACTTTAAAGCAAACTTGGAAAAAATAGGATATTAAAAAATGTCTCAAATGTCTTCTTGGATCACTATAAAAGATATTAGTTATGAACCGTCCCTAAAGAATGTCACGCTTCAAGGGGGGGGTCCAAATATTTGTGACACTTTGTGACGAGGGGGAGAGGGTGGGGGATAAACGCAAGTGTGACGTCCCTTTTTTTAATAAACAAGAAAATAAGTAAATTTTCTTTCATATATATATGCGCATAAATGAATATTTAAGTTTTCAAGCGAGCAAACAGCTCGTGAATATTAAAGGAGGAGTCAAATGTTATTCACAAAAATCTTTATTTCAGCATAAAAAGTTGCTGCTAGACGTCGGAGGGAACTTATGGCAGTAATTGCATTTGAAAAAAACGAAGATGTTGAATGGCTGAACGAAGATGACGTGGACACTACCAACATAGAGTTACCAATTATACCAAAGAAGAAAGCCCATGTATTCCGTTGGTTTCAGTTTTACAGCACCTGACCAGTCTTCGGGAGATAAGCAATTCGTGATCTTTCATATTAATTCGTTATATTTTAATTATGGTAAAGCATTTAGATGTCAAACTATCGCCATATAAACTTGTCATTCGTTATTTGATATCATTAAAAATAAAATGCACAGAAAAATTACATTCACTAGAGGGGTGTGGTAAAGTTTTGTGACATGCTTATTTTCGGAGGGTTGGTCGATTTGTGGGGGAGGGTCATGAAACGTTAAAAAAGCGTGATATCCATCATGGACAGTCTCTTATGTTATGAATCACCCGAAATATCTTTTTCAGACGTTCGGGCGAGAAATGTGCCGGGCGAGATCTTCAGTTAACCGACGTAATAAGAAACGGCCTTACTATCATCATATAAAACAAAACCTATTCTTGTGGCCTAATTATTTTGAAAAATTTAAGTAACTTAATTTTTAAACTTTTCGAATTTAGCCGACTTTGGAAATCTTCCCTCTGCACGTGTTACTTTTGCCCCGCTTTAATGCCAAACCTGGTTAACGACGCCATATTCAAATGTCTCATTCTTTTTTAAAAAGAATTAAAAATGCAAATGGCTTTTTTAGATTTATAATAATGAAACTATGATTAGAAGAACGAATTAAACGAAAAGTTATCACGCAAAATCAAGCGACACAAACCACTGAAGTTAAGCTTATTTAAAAATTGAATACTGATTTAAATGTGATTATACATAAAAGGAACATTACTGTTATCAAATGAAATAGAACTCATTGTCTTGTTCTGTTGTCCAGCCATTGTACTTTGAAAATCCGTTTGATCTGTGGCAATATTTAACAAATATTAACTTTAATGCATGCAAACGTGTTGAATGTATGTTCAGATTAAACCAAAATTACAACGAACCTTTGAAAACTTGCGTGTTAGCAGTGGGAAGAGTGACATTTGAAGAAACTAGATAATTTGTTACCAAGGGTTGAGATTGTGCGGGAAGTGCTTGCACGATTTGTTGGTAAGAAAAGCCTGAGTTTTGCTGAAGTTGAATTGGCATTGATGAGACCAACGTTGATGCAATTATATTTGACGGCTGAGCTGTATACTTCAGTGAAAATTTAATTATTACAATCTGAGCATAAATTTAATATTAAGGTAAAAATATGTCTAACCTTATAGCATTGCAAACGTTGAGCATTGTCCTGTCCATCAACAAGTGACTGAATAGACTGGGAACCTTCTTTATCCATGAAAGAAGACGCGTACATGCCAGATGATATATAAGGGTTTGCTTGATTGTACTGATTGGCAGTGACTGGCTGACTGTGGTGCTGGTGACTGATCGGCTGTTGTACCGGTTGGGATACTTGCACAGATATATTGTATTCATTCGGTTCATTTGTGTAAACCATTGTGGAGGACGATAAAGGGGTTGCCGCAAGCATCGATGATGTACCTAATAGAAGTTACATCCCGTTGCAAGTGTAAACATGCATGCATGAATGGGCGTTGAAGAAATATTAGAAAAAACACATGCATCGCACTGCAAATGTCTAACAGTCACTCTGCTATTACTTGAATTAAAAAGAAAATATTAAAAAGGATTGCTTACCATTAACTAAGGAAGATGACGCAAACACTTTTTTGTCAGACTGCATGGAATTAAGGTGGTGAATGTAACAATTTTTAAGAATAATAAATCTTGGACAAATAGTAATAAACAACAAATCTAACTAAATTTCATTACCGATAGAATCAGTAATCAATAGTCTCAGGCAACAGGGTGCATGGTTTTGCTCAACTACACATTCAACCATTCTCTCAAAATATTCTAATATTTCAGCATTACACTATTTAAGTATTCTTTTATTATTTCAACAAAAACTCTCTTCACTTCATCACTTTGAACCATAACATGTTTAAAAGGTTGTATTATGCATTATACGATCTATATTGTGATGTCCGTGATAAAGAAAACATACATCGTGATGAGATTTATGAACTATGAGCTAACTTTAGATTTTGATTTTGCTGGCTTGGTTGTAGGGAGCACATGGCCACTACTCTGAGGGGCCTTGCAAAAGTTATCTAGGACTTGATGGCATATATCTGAAATGATTAACTAAACATTTGTATACGTAGCATAATTTATCATGTGAATTAAATTATTTTATTAGTGATTAGTAAATCTTGCAAAATTGATATTTAAACTTTATTATCGAGCAACAAGAGTGAAAATTATAAAACAATTTGAAATTATCAAAACAACCAAGTTTTAATTAATTTTTAGTATACAATGCTGAATGTCAAAGAGAACAGGTTGATTTGCAGATGAATACGCAGCAGTTATGAGTTTTTAAGTTAAAAAGATATTTGAAAATTTTTCTTTTTTTGATAATGTTTTGACATTTCTGACTTGAAATCTATTCATGAACTACTTCCAAAACTTCACGAGCTACTTACTTTGGCAAAAATTTATCCAAAACAATAATTTTTCAAATTTTAATAATGTAATAAAATGTGAACCTGTAAAATTAACTTGACAATGATATAAATATTATCAAACAGCAGAACACACCTTCTAACAAATCCAGGGAAACATCTTCAACAAAAAAGTTGTACCACTTTCCTCTGAATCCAAGTGGCTTTCCATGCCAATCCATGATTTCAAATTTACTGATTCTGCAGGCTAAATACATGAGCGAAACTGCGATTACATCGGGCTCCCATTGTAGTGATAAGGTTGTGCAGAGGCTATGAAAATGAATTATTACGATCAACACCACCAGCTCGTTAGTAATTGAAGCTTATTTTATCAGGTTATTTGTATTTATTATTTGTTGACTGGCAGGTTTTTTTAAGTATCATAAAAAAAGAATATCAATCATTAAATTTTGTTTGCAATATAAAACTAATTGTATAAATTTTGAAGCTGGGCAGTCCAATTGCTAAATTTTGCATGTATATAAAATTATTTATCTGATTAGCACGCAGAATAGAAAAATTTTAAAGTTAAAAAAAAGTTAAAGCACACAGAAAGCACAGTTAAAGTTGCTTAATTTAAAAAAAAATATCTGGAGCATTTGCATTCATGTTTTTTGCAATGATGTTTCATACATACATACATACATACATATATATATATATATATATATATATATATATATATATATATATGTGTGTGTGCATGTATGTATGTGTGCATGTGTGTATATGTATGTATGTACGTACAGGCCCATGGATAAAAACAATAGCCAAAAAATGAAAATACAATATGAAAAGGTTGTAATTTTTGTCCTGTCCTATTAACTTAATTATAAATAATACACTCGCAGTTAATAATAAAGAACTAAGAAGCCCCGGTATCCAAAAACCCCTAGCTAGAGAAATAAACTCACTGTGCAGAAAATTTTCAGTTAAAATAATAATTTACCAATTTCATTCAAGTTACCTCTTTTTCTCACATTTTAAATTCAAATTTTGATGTATTAACACAAACAAAGCATTTAAAATGAATAAACAAATTATAAACCTGTCATTATTTAAAGTCCACGCGATTTGTAGAAGGCTCTGAATTCTATCTTTATCCCCTGAAGATGTAAATTATTTTTAATTAAAATAAATTTTGAAAATTTAAAAAAATTGGTAAATGAATAAATTGAAATAACCTTTTATCAGTTTGGCAAATTTCACCAAATAAGTATACGGATGCTCTATCACAAAATCAATTTTAACAGTTTGCAAGACAATTTGTTCTAAAGTTGTGATCTCTTCCTAAGGGAATTCGAAAAACCAAAATTTTAAAAATAATATAAGATATTATATCTGGGGCATATGATTTTTAGCCAATATGAAAAAAATTACAATTTTTTAACTTTCAAGTCTTAAAAATTAAACGAAATCTTTTAACAGAACCACATTCTCAAACCTTCAAGGACATTTACGAAAGCCCTTTTGAGATGATCATGAAAATCCATTGGGCAGTGTTTGTATTAAAATTCAGTGAAACTCAATTTTTAGAAGGGAAAACATCGTTTTCAAGCCTAAAATGCACCCAAAAATTGGCATAATGAGCAAAAAAAGTTGTCAGTCTAACTTTGTTTACTTGGCTACATTAGCGAATCTTTGGACCATTTTTGGTTGAATTTTTTGGCCTTCCCCCTAAAATTTCAAAATTTTGCAAAATTATTACAATTTTAAATTCTCATCATTGCTGTCCAGATCTGTCACTGACCAAGCTAGGATTTTAACACTAAGGGACATAAGATGCATCTTAAGTCATTGTGAGAGATAGTGCACGTTATGTAATCTTACTGGCTGATTGCAGTAGCAGGTCAACAAATTCTCACCCTTATACTCACGCAAATGCCAATTAAATCACTACATATATATATATATATATATATATATATATATATATATATATATATATATATATATAATTTTTTTTATATTTACAAAAGCAAATATTTTTTTATCACAATCATAAATGTTGAATAAGTGCGAAAACAAAACACAAAACCTTTGGATCTTCCCCAAATGTTGCAAACTGAGCCTCAGTCAACAAGTTTTTTGTAACCTCTATTAGATCTTTGCATTTTTTTGGAGTTTCTTCCACTTTCCCAGCCAAGTACAAACAACAGACAGCTGTGATCTAAAAAAGTTTTCAAATTTTCTTTTATTTGACATCCAAAACATAGTAAGCTATAATATTAACAAATTATCCAGCGACATATTGGATGATGAATAAGAAAAATTAATAACAAAATCAGGGATAATAGAAGAATTTTTGACCAAAATGTGATAAAACTTTAAATCTTTTCAAAAAGGTTCATTTTTATTTTCCTGTTGTTTGTTTGTGTTGACCAGGTGAAAGAAATTCATGAAAAATAGGCAATAATCAGAAATGAGGAAAACTGGGAAATTGCAATCTGGAACTGAGATCAAGGCTGTTATGAGAGCATATAATAAATACAAGAACCACTTTTAAATGATAAATGCTGCAAGTCTTAGGAGCCAGATTATTAGATCATCATTTAATAATATTGAATAAAGATATTATTATTAATTATTAACATGATAATAATTAATCCAATCAATACTTCCATTGTTTATACCAGGAGAGGGCAAACTACGGCCCACAAAGCTATTTTATGCAGCCCGCGATGGCCTTGTTAGTCTAAAAAAATGTTGTCAGCCTGACATTATGACCAAAAAAGAAGCCACAAGTCTTAAAAAATGTCCCCAGGGTCAAAAAAATTAGCTATTTAAGTACATATGCGGCCCTTCAAAGGTAAAATAGTTCTCAAAGCAGCCCTCACATCAAAATGTTTGCCCACCCCTGTGATAAGATATAATATATAACATATTTAACTATACACAACATACGTTAAAATCAAACTTACATATTTTGGGAATTCGGTGAACGATCGGAACATGTAAAATCTGTGAAATAACACAACTCCAGTGGCACAAGTGACAATATTTCTATGAAAAAATTTTCAGTAGATTCAATATCAATAAGTTTTAAACAAACAATAATTTTGTTGAAGATGATCAGAAAATAATATAAAGAAACAAAACTATTAAGGTTTGACACAAAACTATAAGTACAAATATTTTGTCTTGCATTTACTATATTGAAGATATACATAGTTTCATAAATTTGAAAATAAATTATTTATTATTTAAACTATGTATAAAAAAGGCTAAATTTCCACGATGTACGTTTACATATCATTACAACAAACACATGTAAGTCAACGCATCACACACTTGCATGTGATATGTGAGGATTTCTTTTACATTCAAAATTGGACACTGTATCAACAATGCATGGCACTTTAATCATTAAACAATTCCTCCACTAGAGCCCCAAGTAGATAACTGCAATGCAATTTCAAACCACGGTTACTGCACCGCAACTACGGTGGTTGCGGATAAAAAATTCTCAAAACTTTTGCGGTTTGCAGATTTTGCCTGTTCGTTTGTAGCATATGCTGATTCAAGTGCATTATTCAAAAAACCGCCCACAAAATTAAATTTTTAATTTTCAAAAATTTTCAGATTAAAAAATTTTGTTTTTTGTTAATTTGCATATATGTATGTGTGTGAGTATTTATGTGTGTTTAATGACCATAGCTGAGTCTCTCTGGGGTCCACATCCAAGCAAGCAGCTTCTACTAATTACTTGAATTAAGAAAGTTATTTCAATGAATACACATCCATACATACACACATACATCATACATGTATATGTAAAAAGGTGCATGTGTATATATATATATATATATATATATATATATATATATATATATATATATATATACACACATATGTTGGACGGAGACCATATTTTATACAGTATTGTATGAATTCTATCAAATTGTTGGCATTAATCAATTTAAAATTTTGTTTTTTCAATTTTCTTTATTGGAGTTTATTGAAAATAAAATAATCCAAGTTCATCATGAAAATTTAATGAAACTGTTCTTATCAAAATTCATCTTGCAGATAAACCCTTATTTCGATTTTTATGATTTTTTTCAATAAATTGAACAATTTCCAGAAAATTTTAATAAGGAAAATTGAAAAAACAAACTTTAAATTGAATAATGCCAAAAATTCGGTAGAATTCATACAATACTATATATATGTATACATATATATATATAACATATCTTAATAAATATTAAATAAATAAATAGCTTGTTTGAGTTCCTCGTCCTCGTTTATTTTATGTTCGTGGTTCTGGCCAATGTTATTTCAATTATTAAATTAGAAATTCATTAAATTCTTCTTAAATAATTAAAGAATTGCCTAGTATTGCTATCTTCTAATTTTAAACATGAGATTAAGATAGCCAATTTTGGTTACCTTTTTGCAGGTGCAGTGCAGAAAATGAGCAATGCAGATGTCGGCGGTTGCTGGCATTAAATCTGCAGATGCGGGCGGTTGCAGTTTAAAAAATTATCTGCTTGGGGCTCTACTCTCCACCAAACTAAGCATTTCTGACTTATAGATCTAACAACTAAGTAACATAACGTTCTAATAGAAATAAAGCATTTTGAAGAAAATTATAAATAAAATAACCAAATCTAGCTGGCAAGATTAGCAAAAAAACAAAAAAAAATAGAATACCGACAATCCCAATTTGGTACAAGCAGCAATAATAAATTTGGCTCCATCTTTTCTGCATTTACTTTCTTCCTCTGGAGACATGCCCTGTTTCACGGAAGGAGTATTTAAAAAGTCTTTCTTCTCGTAGTACCAGCAAGGCATTTTTTCATTTATTTTTTTTTTATTTATTATTAAAAAACTTCAAGTAATTTTTTGTTATAAGATTCGAGGTTTTTTAACAATTAACCAGATTAACAAAAGAGACTATCAAAATACGTTATATTTATAATAAATAATTATTTATATTTACACAAATATTTTTGTGAAATAAATAAAAACACATAAACAATACGAAGCCCGGGTAAACATCAAATAACGCATGAATCAAAGGGGTACACTACAATTATATATAATCAAAGACACACACACACACACACGTGCGCGCACAAAACATGGAAAGCTACTGTAATTTTAACTCAGCAGGGTTGTCATAATTATATTATCCTAATTACATGTAACAAACACGAAGAAACAATTGAAATGAAACAAAACGAAATAAAATTTAATTATTAATTTTAAAACTTTATTATTAAATTTTTCATGCATTCGAAAAAATATGAAAAACAATAAATAACAATTTTTTATAAAAAGAATTTACCTACTTCAAAAATATTCTAATCCTAGCGATTGAATAAGATTGAATAAAAATTATGTATTCAAAAGTTCTAAAATTAATGAGACAATGTAACGATAATAAGAAATTTCATGTATATGTTATTATATTATATAATATGCCGGTAAATCTGGGACAAGAAAAAATTAAACTAGAAACTAGGCTTTATTAATAGAATCTTATTATAATCGTAAATGTTTTATTGTAAACACAGACCGGTATCATTAATTCTTGCCAAGGAGAGGCCTGTCGAGAACAACGATCTCAAATTAGCTTTGCCATTTAGGACTAGAAAAAGAAATTAAATATGTATAAATACTATGCAAATGATTTAAAGCATCTACTTAGAATACTTATACAGGCCCTCGAAGGCGCACAGTTTCAGTGCGCTTTGCACAATTTTCAGAACGCTTTAGAAGCTTGTCTCCTTTAGTTGCCATTAGAGGTCTACATGGAAAATTTCCCGCAAATATTTTTCGTGCGGGAAGTACCGCGGGACGGGAAAAATTTTAGAGGGAAAACCGCAGTTGACTTGACTTTGATGGCGAAGTTCCAAAATGTTGAAAATTAATGAGAAACTTCATAGCTTGAACAGCAACGCAATTGAAAAAGTTAGATTATTAGTTAGAAAGTTAGAAGTCAACAAGTTAATATCTTCCGAAAGTCAGCGAATAACGTATTTATTTTCTCAACAGTCAAGGAGTGGTATAAAATTTACAAACTATCTACTGAAGCACTAACTGTTATTAACCAGTATTTTTGTTTGTTTTTATAATAAAAATTGTACATGGAATGTACTACGTAATACTCTGACTAAGAATACTTTATTGTCTTTGTTAATAATGATATAATTGAGGGAATGAGTGCGGGAAAATGAGGATTTGTGAAGGAATGAGTGCGGGTAAGGGAAGACATGTGAGTGAATGGGTGCGGAAAGACTGGTGAGGGAATGAGTGCGGGTGAGGGAAGACTTGTGAGGTAAAATTCATTTTTAGGAGGAGCAGGTGATGGAACAAAATGTGTTCCCGCGTAGACCTCTAGTTGCCATGAACATGGATATATTATATATATCCATGGCCATGAATCTTGTTTAATATAAAAAACTTCTTTGTTTGTTTTTAATATAATTGTTTATTAAAGAAACGTTAATTGAAACATTGGAAGACACGTTAGTCGACAAAAATCGAAAAGCATACACGAGCAGGTTAGTCAAGTTAGCAATAATAATAAGATTGTCTGAAACTATGGAAAGTCATAAATATATTGAAACATATACAATATACATATATATTATTTCAATACTTTCCCTTGTTTCAAAACATTTTATGACATTAGTCCCATATGTCCACACAGGAGTTTCAGTTTGACTCTGTCCAGTGGCTTTGTCATCACATCAGCGACTTGATCACTTGTTGAAATTTGTGTGATATCAACCGTTCCATCTTGAATTTTTTCTCTAATAAAAAAGTTTTTCAAGTCAATGTGTTTTGTTCGCCGATGAAATTGTGGGTTCTGAGCTAATTTGACTGCAGCACTGTTGTCAACTTGCAAGATTGGCACATCTTTCAAATCAACCTGTAATGATTTGAATAATCTTTGAAGCCAAATTATTTCTTTGACAGCCTCTGTCGCAGCGATGATCTCAGCCTCTGTTGTAGATGTTGTAACTATGGCCTGTCGTTGACTAATCCATGATATTATGCCTCCTGCATATGTGGTCGAACGCCCAGTCTTTCTACAGCCTTTGTACTGTCTGATCTGTACACAATGCTCTGATTGATTGTTCCTACTAAGTATCTAAGCACTCGTTTTGCTTTTATTATATCTCCTGGTGTTGGATTCTCGAGGGAGCGTGATAAATAGCTAATGCTGTACGCAATGTCTGGTCTTGTACCTAACATCAGGTACATTAATGCTCCAACTAGTTGTCGAAAAGGGTATTCTGAACCTGTTATGTCTGATTGATTATTATCATTTTCTTTAAGCATTGGGGAGTGAACTGTTTACATTCTTCAAATCTGAAAGAATTTTCCTTGCATAACCAGATTAACAAACTTTTATGCTTCCATCCAATAGAGTTTCTATTTGAAGACCTAGAAAATATGTTGCAGGTTTAACTGTAACCTGAAATTTCAGCTTCAAATTTTCTAATGAATAGATCTAAATCTTCTGTGTTGCTAGCGGCTACTAGTCCAACATCAACATACAATGCTAACATCATAATGTTTTCATTCTGTTTTTTAACATACAGACATGGATCCGCTTCACTCGACTTAAAGCCACATTCAAAAAGAGACTTGCATTGATTCCAACAACGAGGTGCTTGCTTTAGACAATACAGATTTTTGAGCAATCGACAAACTTTATTTGAGCCATCATTATATCCTTCTGATTGTTTAAAGAAGATGCAGTTTTTCACTTGCTGCAATACTTAGTACAGAGCGAACTGTAGTCAACTTTACTACTGGACTAAACGTCTGATTGTAATCTACATTTTGTCGTTGTGAAAATCCTTTTGCCACAAGTCTTGCCTTGTATCTATCTACACTTCCGTCTGGCAAGGTTTTCATTTTGTAAACCCATTTACATGGAAAAACTTTAGCTCCTCTGGGTAGCTCACAAAGTTCTCAAGTTCTATTTTTGTTTAATGAATTAATTTCATTATTCATGGCATCATTCCAATATTTACTTTCCCTGCTTTGAATGGCTTCTTCGTATGTATCTGGTTCATGTACATCTAATAAATATGTCTCAGCCGGCATCACATAATCATCTAGCTTCTTAGGTTTCTGCAAGCTTGACCTATCTCTGAGTTGAACTTTAACTGAATTATCTATAATCTTCTCAGTGTCATCTGTAATTTCTTCTTTGCAATTGATTTGAGGATCTGTTGTAAAATCTTTTTGAGTCTGATGTTCTAATGATGTTGTACATTTTATAGGTTTTTCTTGGAAAACTACATCTCTTGAGAATATCATTTTATATTGATTTTTGAGCCATATACGATAGCGTTCGTCACCATCGTAACCAACAAGGTAACCTTTTATGGCTTTCTTATCCATTTTTTGATGTTTTTGATCAGGTATGTGAACAAAACACGTAGAGCCAATTATTCTCAAATGGTTAATTCTCGGCTTTTTACCTGTCCAAATTTCAAATGGGCTTTTATCTTCAATCGACGATTTGCCTGTTTGATTAAGTAAATATACTGCAGTTGAACATAACTCAGCCCACATAGCGACTGGAAATTCAAAATCTGGATTTGAGTACTTCAATGTGCGTGCCATTTCTACTATTGTTCTGTTTTCACGTTTACTACCACCATTTTGTTGAGGTGTATATGGTGCTGTTAGTCTTTGCGTGATTCCATGGCTGCGCAGGATGTTTCGAACTTCGTTGTCAAACTCACACCCATTGTCACTCAAAAATTCTTTTACTTTATGACCTTGAGTCGCTGCTTGAGACAAAATATTTTGTAGTGCCTGTTTCACTTCATTTTTGTGTCTAAGAAAAGAAATGAACCTCATTTTGCTGTAATGATCTTTGAAAACAACAAAATATCGTTTACTATTAAATGATTCTGTACTGAAAGTACCACAAACATCTGCTGATAGTAGTTCACCTGGTTTATTGGTTGCATTTCTCTTGCCAAATTTTAACCGATGTGCTTTACCACAAAAACATGGTTCACACAAATCTTTGTCAAAATGAATTTTAATGTTTAACACCTTTTCTATAACATTCTTTAAGTGACGTTTATCTTGATGACCAAAACGTTCATGGTAGAGCTGCACTATTGAATTTTCACTGACTATATTCACTTCAGCCGGTGTATCTGGAGTTAATGAAATCAAGTTTGCCTCATACAAGGAACCATCTACTCGTCTTGTCCCTTGTACTACCACTCGCTTCTTTATACTGAGTTGACATTTGGTTGCATAAGATTCAAACTTGCTGTTTTTTGAATTTTTATCTTGTGCGGCTAATATGGAAAACAGGTTTCTACCTATATTTGGAACATACCAGACATCTGAGAGTTTTATATACTGTTGTTTGTTATTTACTGTTGACAGCATATTTATTTTACCTCTACCCACAGCAGCAAGAACTTCTTTTCCTGCAGCTTGAACAGAACATGGTGCGACAAACTTCTCAAAAGTAACAAAATTATCTGGATTGTTCGTTAAGTGCTTTGTTGCTCCATTGTCAATATACCACTTAGTGTTGTCTCTCAGTGTTTGATAACTGGCTGACGTGTTCAAAACTACATTTGATGTTTCATCATATGCTTTTCTTGGTATCGCTGAAACATTTTTGAAATTTTTAGAAGGTCTTCCATCACTGACCCACTTTCTACATTGCTTAACCCAGTGTCCAGGTTTATGGCAATAGTTGCAGTTACCAACTGGTTTTGTTCTTTTAGTGAAATCTCTTGATTTGTAAAAACTTGGCTTTTCAACATTTACAACTAAGGCGTTCTGCCTTGATGATTTATCGATTGTGTCGAAAGTCTTTATTTCTCTTTCGAAAGCACAGAGATGAGTGATTAAATCATCTATCGACTGCTTTTTTTCACCTAGCATTAGCCAACTTGATTTGATGTTTTGGAAACTATTTTGGAGAATCTGCATCGCTTTGCATACTAATAGCAGCTCTGGTAGTTTATTTTCTCCCGATGCCTGAAACCCACTGTTTAATTCGTTCCATAAAGTCTTCAATCTTGCAATTTGGCCGGATACATCTACATCCGCTATCCAATTGAAATCGAAAAAATTGCTACAAACTTGGAACAGTTGGTCCTTAGTTGACGCTTCAAAATTTCTTTTTAATTCCTCCCAAATTTCAAACGCTGTGTTCTTGTCCATTATCTTTTGGTATGTATCTTCTGTGACTGCATTCGCAATTACTGATTTGGCATAACTGTTTGCCTTTCTAAACAGATCTGATTTATTTTTAAAATCTTTTGTCTGTTGCTCTGTTTGATTTTCTAGTAATTCTGGTTTTGACAACTTCCCATCAATCACATCAAGTGCGCCCTCATGGTAGTCCATGAAATCTCGAACACGACGTTTCCAAATGGGCCAATCGGCTGCGCAACTTAACTGTTTTATTTGAAGCTTTGAGTCCATTTTGAAGGAAAAAAAATTGATGTTCTTGCTTCAACGATAGTTGGAAAAGTTCTTTTAGTCACGAATTGCAATCTCTTTCTTTTTTTTTTCAAAATAACTTTTTCTCTCAACAATTTATTAAGCGTTCTGGGCTCATAACCTGTTTAAAATAAAAAACTTCTTTGTTTTTAATATAATTGTTTATTAAAGAAACATTAATTGAAATATTAGAAGACACGTTAGTCGACAAAAAGCGAAAAGCATAAACGAGCAAGTTAGTCAAGTTGGCACGTCCGTAACACCAGTTTCATGAAAGTGATTTTCAAATTTCACGATCAACGACATATAAATATAAAGTGCACAATATTGTATGCTTAAAAAATTACCAAAAATAATTACTCATCGCAAAATTAGAGTTAACACACTGTATCAAAATATATTTACTAAATGACATTTTTACAACAGGTGTTAAAACTGTGTGTCGGTTTTAATTTAATTAAAAAATATTCTGACAGTAAATATTTTATTATTTTACACCAATTGACACAATATTGTATGCTTAAAAAATTATCAAAAATAATTATTCATCGCAAAATTATAGTTAACACACTGTATCAAAATATATTTACTAAATGACATTTTTACAACAGGTGTTAAACCCGTGTGTCGGTTTTAATTTAATTAAAAAATATTCTGACAGTAAATATTTTATTATTTTACACCAATTGACACAATATTGTATGCTTAAAAAATTATCAAAAATAATTATTCATCGCAAAATTATAGTTAACACACTGTATCAAAATATATTTACTAAATGACATTTTTACAACAGGTGTTAAAACCGTGTGCCGGTTTTAATTTAATTAAAAAATATTCTGACAGTAAATATTATATTATTTTACACCAATTGACACAATATTGTATGCTTAAAAGATTATCAAAAATAATTATTCATCGCAAAATTATAGTTAATACACTGTATCAAAATATATTTACTAAATGACAATTTTACAACAGTTGATAAAACCTTGTGTCGGTTTTAATTTACTTAAAAAATATTCTGACAGTAAATATTTTATTATTATACACCAATTGACACAATATTTTATGCTTAAAAGATTATCAAATATATTATTCATTGCAAAATTATAGTTAACACGCTGTATCAAAATATATTTACTAAATGACATTTTTACAACAGGTGTTAAAATTGTGTCTCGGTTTTAATTTATTTAAAAAATATTCTGACAGTAAATTTTTCATTATTTTACACCAATCGACGCAATACTGTATGCTTAAAAGATTATCGAATACAATTATTCATCGCAAAATTATAGTTAACACACTGTATCAAAATATATTTACTAAATGTCAATTTTACAGTAGTTGTTAAAACCGTGTCTACTATTTGACCACCAACTTTACCTACCATCTGACCATCAACAATATCTAACCCTTGAACACCGATTACACCTACCACCTGACTACCAACTTTATCTACCACCTGACCACCGATTTTAATGACCAAAATTTATGTCGTACTATTTATTACAATGCGAAAATTTAAAAATATGTTGCGAAGGAAGAATAAAGTTTACCGGATTCAATTTCTTCTGGTGGAGTTTCATTTAACAGCGACCTATAAATAGCTTTAGGAGTTTTATTGACGTTCGTAAGCTCTCTTATCTTTTTTTTTAGTGTCACTGTTAATGTAACCACTGTGCAGTCCATTAGACGAATGATATGTTTCTCCATTGACAGTTACATTTATGATCACGTCTTTGTTTGGTTGCGGAATTTTTTTTATTTTGAAAAAAACTGTTCAACATTCTGAAAAGCTGCACCTCGCTTCCCCATTCCAATAATCATTTTTTTACTAGTAGATTTTGATATGTAATTATAACAATAACTCAATATACATCAAAGTATTACTTTATTAAATTCTAATGCAATCAAATCGGTCTATCCTTTTGACAACCCTCTTGACTTTTCATTAACGGGTGCCACGCAACTGAAATCTTGAAAAAAAAACTATTTGAAATTTTTTAAATACTTCATTTACCTGACCACCTACCACTTGACCACCAGTTTTGTCTACCACCTGACAACCGATTTTACCTACTACTTGACCACCAACTTTACTTACCATCAGACCATCGACAATATCTACCATTTGACCCCCAACTTCATTTACCTCTTGAACACCGGCTTCACCTACTATATGACTACCAACTTCATCTACCACCTGATTACCGACTTGACCACCAACGTTACCTACCATCTGACAATCAACAATATCTACCACTTGACCATCAATTTCACCTGCCACTTGAACAACGGCTTCACCTATTATCTGACTACCAACTTCACCTACCACTTGACTACCAACTTCATCTACCACCAGACTACCAACTTCATTTACTACACGACTACTAACTTCATCTACCACTTGACCACCAACTTCACCAACCACTTGAACACCGACTTCATCTAACACTTAACCACCAGCTTCACCTACCACCTGACTACCAACATCATCTACCACCTGACCACCGACTTTATCTACCCCTTGGCCACCAACTTTATCCACACCTTGACTACCAATTTTATCTACCACTTGACCACCAACTTCACCTACTTCTTGATCCCCAACTTCATCTACCTCTTGACCATCAACTTCTCCCTCACTGTCAGCAATCGTTTTAATTTTAGAGTAAATGTATTTCAATTTTTTTATTACTTTATGGCTACGATCGACGCCAAGCGTGATACCAACTTTCACGAATATTTCACTTTGACTATAGATACATTTCGAATTTTGAGAACACTTCTTTCATTTCTTCGATGGTAAAAACAACCTTTCTATCTATTCTAATTAATGGTTGATGGAAAAGTTTGTAATTTTCATTCCAATTGTTAATAACTTGAAATTTTGAATATTTGAAATTAAACAGTTAATAAATAGAAAATATTTCTTAAAAACAGCTAAACAGATGTTGAGTATATTTTAAATGCAACAAATATTTTTTGTCTTCCAGGTTTTTTACAAACAGCTTGATATGGGAGCATAGAGCACGTTGATATAACAGTGAGCTTCAAGAAATTACTATTAAATCTACTACTTCTAAAGCAGCTACTACTACCACCACAATTACAACTACCACTACTAATACAACGACTACTACGTACTATCACTACAATTAGTACTACTTCTTATCTTCTTATATAGCCGCTAAAACTACTACTACTACGACTACTACTACGACGACTACTACTACTACTACTAATACTACTATTACTACTTGAAAAAATAAAATACACACATATGCACAAATTGTTTTAGTCTTGTGTTAATTAGCGCCCTGACAGCAAATAACCATTAAAATTTATCTCATAGCAGACTAATCAATTTGTGATTTCAACAACAAACACGTCCACTACAACTACTACTACTACTACTACTACACCACATCTACTACCACTATTATCTTGTAAAATAACAAAATAAATACTGTCAGAATATTTTTTAAATAAATTAAAACCGAACCACGTAAATATATTTTGATACATCGTGTTAACTATAATTTTGCGATAAATAAATATATTTAATAATTTTATAAGCATACAATATCGTGTCGATTGGTTTAAAATAATAAAATATTTACTGTCAGAATATTTTTTAAATAAATTAAAACCGAGACATGGTTTTAACAACTGATGTAAAAATGTCATTTAGTAAATATATTTTGATACAGCGTGTTAACTATAATTTTGCGATGAATAAATATATGTAATAATTTTTTAAGCATACAATATTGTGTCGATTGGCGTAAAATAACAAAATATTTACTGTCAGAATATTTTTTAAATGATTTAAAAACACAGACAGAATTTCTTAAACGAAATTCGTTCGCTAACATTTATTCGATCAAATAAAATCGTAATTTTTTTTAAGTTAAAACACGTGTTTTTAAATTTGCATGTGCATCATGCATTAATGATTTCTTTAACTTCTTAAATTTCTCCATTTCAACTCAAAAGTCTTTCGGCACTCCATATTTATATGTCGTTGATCGTGAAATTTGAAAATCACTTTCATGAAACTGGTGTTACGGACGTCAAGTTAGCAATAATAATAAGATTGTCTGAAACTATGGAAAGTCTTAAATATATTGAAACATATATAATATACATGTATATTATTTCAATAAATCTCACCCATATATCCATGATCCTACCACATTTTACAATTTTCACATTTTTGTAGCTTATAAAAAAATATTCAATCATTTAAAAAAAATTTTATTCATTATAATTCTTTTATAATTGATTTATTTCATGCACTTGCTTAATTTTTATACGTATTTAGTATCTTGGATTAATTTGTTTTAATAAATCTAAACACCTATTACTATTCCTCCCTTTATCTTACCTGATTCTAAAACTTTTGAAGTTTTCCACAAGTTTCGTAGTCTAGGCTTAATTTTTGATTTTAGTATGTCTCTTCTCAGATTAATAGTGTTGCTAGAAGTTCCTACTTTCATCTACGTGGAATACAAAAACTTTTGGCTTTTCTTTATAATCCTACTCTTCTCCTTCTTTTTACTTCGTTAGTCTTATCTAGGATTGATTATTGTAACTCGCTCTACTATGGTCTTTCTGATTCTACACTCTATCCTTTAAGTAAAGTTTTTAACTCTGCTGCTTGTCTAGTTGCTCGTGCCCCTTTCTTTTCTCATATATCTTTATATCTTGTTCTCTTGCATTAGCTACCTATAAAATAAATTTTTTTTAAAATTTGCTCATTTATGTATAAGTTTCAATTTAAATTATTTCTTAAGTACTTATCAGATATATTAATTGAACGTAAATACTCCAGTTTACGATCGTTTTCTTGTTCTCACTTCTTCTTAACTTGTGTTAAACACTCTTTTGCTGAATCTGCTTTTGCTTTTTTTGGCTCTTTTTTCTGGACTTCTCTACTTAGGTGACTACTTATCTATCACTCACAAACTTCTGAGCGGATTTCAAGACCCATCTGTATGCAAAATTCATTGAGGAGAGCTGTTGAACATTGTGAAAATAGCGCTTTATAAGTTAATTGATTGATTGATTTTTTTGGTTTTTTGGGTGTGCATATAGGATATAGATTTGAGATTTAAGATTGTCTTCCTTAACAGCACGATTAATTTAATAAAAATATTAAAATGAATACGGTTTTCAAATAATAAATAGATATTTCACAATAAATCATAAAAACGTTAAAATTGTAAAATTTGATAAATTTTTTCATGGAAACTAAAGATTGGGACTAGACTCAAAAGCACACTGAAAATGTGCGCGAATGGTTTTGAGGGCCTGTAAAGGTAAGTATATATTCTAAGTATATGATTGTGGCAGACTTTTACGTTTAGCGTGATGGCGGCACGTTTTCTCGGTGGTTTTGTAATTTGGGTGGATTCTTGTTTTTTGCTTCTGAACAAGTGAGTTCTCTTCTTTTTTACTATGACAATTTTTTTTCTATATCTTTCTACATCTTTTTCTTTAACTTGTAAATATTATTATGTCTTATTCTAGAGACTTTCTCTTAGGCCTCTCTAACACTCTTTTGGCTCCGACGAGAGTAGTTCGGCGGCGAATTTTTTACTTTAATCTTAGGTCTAATAATAACAATAAAAACAATAAATCTAACTCTAACAAAAAAATAAATATAGTTAGTAACCATAATTATATCAATAATAATAATGCTAATAGCAAATATAATAGGATTAATTTTATTAAATCCCACTCTAATGTAATTAATACCAATGATAAGAATAATTATTCTAATTCTATTAGTTTGAATAATATAACTAGATTTAAAAGTACCAATATCCAACCTACCTCTACATTCTCACTGTTTAATATTAACCTAAGATCAATTAATAAAAAATAGCTCTATATCCATCAAATAATCTCTTCCTCCTTACCTGATTTTTTTACTTTTACTGAAACTTGGCACGAGGACTCTAACTCTTCCTCTCTTATTCTTGCTACTGATGGTTACACCTTCCTTGAACTCTCTAGACCTCCAAAAAATCTTCTATCATCTTCTCATTCTTCTTATGGGGGTAACTGTTTATTTTATAAATCTCTATTTACTGCTTACATTAATACTTCCTTTAATTTTTCGTCTTTTGAATGACTTGCTGTATCTTTTAAGTCTTCTTCTCTATCTTTTTATATTGCAATAATCTATCGCCCTCCTTCTTCTTCTCTCACTTTATTTTTAGATGAATTCTACTCACTCGCTGTATCTCTCTACTCTTTTTCTATTCCTTTCTACATCTCTGGTGATTTCAACTTGCACTTCAATAATTTATCATGTTCTTACACTCGTAGATTTAATGATATTTTGTCTCTTTTTAACTTAACTCAATATTGTTCTTTTCCTACCCATACTTCTGGTAACACTATTGATTTTATTATAGCTTCATCTTTTTCTAAGCCTATTAATATCTCTGCTAGCTCTGTTCCTTATTCTGATCACCTCCTTATTGAATCTGTTTTTTCATTAGATTTTCTTCCTTCAAATTCATCTATGTCTATTTCTAAAAGATGCTGGTCTTCTTTTAATAAAGATATTTTTCTTCAATCTCTTACTGAAACTATTTTTGATACTACCTTATTTTCTGATGTTGATGATTTTGTCTATGCTTTTAATATCTACATTACTTCTATTCTGGATAAGCTTATTCCTCTTAAATCTTTTACTTATAGGCTCTATTCTCGTAAGGCTCCTTGGTTCAAAATTCATTGAGGAGCGCTGTTGAACATCGCGGAAATAGTGCTTTATAAGCTAATTGATTGATTGATTGACTTTGAAGTTTATTTCATTTTAAAAACAAAACTAACACATTTTTCCGTATTGCGTCAATTTTAAATTTATATTTCAAACAAACAAACAAATTAAATTACTTTTTACGAATGAAAACATAGTAAACCTTAAATTCAACGTCAAGGAGATAAAAAATTTTAACAACATCTAATTGCCCCGCTCAGAGCCTCGTCTAAGTAATTTTCACTAAGTGACAAAGTTTTAAAAGTTTTGGAAATTATAATTATAGTATAAATTCTTTTCAAATCACGGGTGCCTAATAGATATTGCATCAACTTTCTAATGAAGAATACAATTCTTCAATCTTGCGGTAAAAACATAGATTACAAGCCTAAGGAATAAGCTAATTTGAACCAGGAATGGGCTAATGACAAAACGTCTAATTTAAATTGTCAATAAAAAATTGTTCATGATTTTGTTTATGTAAATGTTGATGCGTTAAAAATGCACATGCACTCTTTTGTCAATTTGAAATAAGTGACATTTTTTTTATTAACGACACAGTATCACAAAAAAACAATTGATGTTAAATTAGCTAATCACAAGTTATTTTCAGTGTTAAAAAATTTTTTTACAAATTCCCTGTTTCGGTAAAGTTTATCATCTGGTAGAGTCGATCGTCTCGTTTTTGAAGAAAGAAAATCAGCCACCACTGGCCGAGGATCAAAATTTGCGGTACCTATAGCATTTAAAGCAATGCATAATCGGTCATTCACAGTATTTCTCGACATAGATGATCGAAGGTCGCTTTTTAATTCTGTTTGGCATGAAATTATCCGTTCCGTGATCATGCTGTGAGGACAAGTTATAAGAAATGTTTGAACCAGCTTGTTTAAAAGAGACGACGGTGTTGTTTTTTGTAGCAATAATTACAACTTGCTTTCATGCGGCTTAAAAGATGAAGCACCAAATAATGAATAGTAACCAACAGCATCATCTACAAATTCTGAAACATAATTATCACCAAAAATATCTGATACAATTTGCCGACCGGCTTTGATCATTGCTTCAGCATTTTCAGCATTGGCAACATCTATAATTGCCTTTACTTGTAAATTCTGATCGACATCCAACCTTCTCTCAAGGAAGTTTTTTGCACATGTGATTACCTCAAGACGCACATTTCTATTGCGTGTTGTAACATACAAGTTTTTCACATTTCTCTGAAATTGATTATCATTTGCTTCAGTTTGCAATGACTGTGTAGATGCAAGTCCACTATTATTTTGTAACTTTTCTTCATATCCCCCATCATAGAAAGACGCTGAAGTACGTGGTCGCGTTTTTGCATCAAATCAGCCAAGGTAACAAACGTGCGTTGAGCTTCTTTTTGTAAATCGCAAGATATCCAAAGCAACAGCACTCATGTTTAAGTTGAATGAAGTTTGGGACCAATCCTTCAGAAAACCTCTTGCTCTTTGCTTTTCATTATTTTCACCTTGTTGTACAACTGTCTTCCAGTAAGCGCACATCATCTGATGATTAGACAGAACTGCAAGTACAACATTGGCAAGGTGTTCCGCAAAACGAACTTCATGATGCCGTGGAAAATATTTAGCAGTCTCACCCAAACTTGCAGCAATTTCATGCAGGTTTTTTGTCGGTAGCTTGATCCACGAAAATAAGTAGCGACATTTTTTATATCTGTTAACCAATGACGAAACTCCGGAACCACGTTTTCAACGCTTTCAAAAGCCAGGTCAGATCTGTGAGCTATGCCCCAAAGTGTCAACATGTTGTGCCCTAAATATTCAGACATCTTTACCCACAACCCTCCGTGACGTCCAGTATTTGAATTTTCCCCATCTGTCGTAAGACCCACCATCTTTGCTTTAATGACATCTTCAATTTCAAGATACTGGAAACGTTTCTGCAAAGCATCGACCATCCCAATTACTCCTCTTAACTCACTGTGGCATTCACCAAGAAAACTATCTTTCATCTCAAAATTAGTGTTGTCCATGTATCGGGCAGTAACAAACAGACTGTCAGCATTGTATTTATCAACAGATTTCTCAATTTGCAGGGCGACACAGTCTGCGATTTTCAATGCTTGAATAACTCTGCTCAATTCATGCTTGGACACAAATGATAATATCTCTCTGTACCGGTCAGGATTTCTGTAATGCAATGCTGACTGGGGTGGATTAAACGCCACAAAGTCACAATCAAGACCATGATCAATGTATTGCTTAACTTGGTTTTCTGCATGCATTTGTGCTAGTGAACGACTTGGCCAAGACCAAGCTGACAGCGTTTTGGTTACTGAATCATTGTGTACATCAACTGTAAGGCGAATAAGAGTTGATATCAGTTCAATATTGTGTTGTTTCAAAATTTTTACCCATGGATGTTTGTTAGATTGTGCGGCTCATTGCTTTCGTGCAAGATCGGCCCGTTGTGCAGCACTATGAGCATCACCTTTCAAGTAATCAATAGTTTTTTGAAGCTGTTGCATGCCGTCACACCGAACACCATCAGCTATTGGGACAGTACCATTTCGAGCATACTTTTTAGCTTCAGAAATGTTATCGTAGCACAGTTTGCATTTTAGACTTTTACGAGAACCCAGTTTTATTGCTTTCAGTTCTGAATGGTGTTTCTGCAACCAAGCAGCATCAAGTTTGAAGCTTTTGTACCACTGTCCAAAAGGTGCAAAATCTTTGGAGATGATCTGATCAAAAGGTAACGATGTATGTGTGACTTGAGAAACACATTCTGCCTGTATAGGTACTTTTGATTTTGCTGCTGAGATACTATTTGTTACTGATGTAGAGTGATCAGGTAAAGTGGTGTTATAAAAGATATTCTCAGGGTCAAATTGTTCATTCTGATTAGGGACTGTTGTTGCAATGGAATGGTTAAAAAAACTGTTTATTTTTCTTTGTTTTTTAGGATAATGAGAGCTTGATTTTGCTATATCATTCTGTGCAGTAGTTGCTGACATTTTTAACGTAAACCTTCCTGCAAAAAATAATTTAACGAAACATTTAATTAATTAAAAACTGTCTATTTTAAAATCATAAATATTAAAACATTTGAATATTTAAAGTTTCGTTTTCAATTTGCTTTGCAATTTTTTTAAATATTGAATCAAATATATATAAATATTATATAATATTGAATAAATTATTATATTTATTATTAATATATTATTATTCAATTATATAAATATAGAATCAAAGATTCAATAAAACAATTTCAAAATTGTTAAATCACTTAAATCCAAAAAAAAACAAATTCTATACCACTACTACCTTATAACTAAACATTTAACCGTATTATCTATATACATTTCAAATTATAAATTTATGTGCCTTTGAATTTTGAACCGTTTTTTACGTTTGGTTTCGTTTACTTTACGCGTACGTGTGATTAGTCATTAGTGACGTTACCCGGCGAAATTACGAAATTATGAGAAATACATTCAAATTTGTAAAAAAATGCTATCAAAATATAATTTATTTAACAAAATATTTATTTAACAAAAAAAAAAAGATTTCTCTATTCTTCAAATTTGAACCATTGCTGTTGTAATTATTTTAATCAGAAAATTTTATTAATTTTTAAATAGTACTCCGTCGTCTCGTCAAGGAAAGCAACCAAAGATATTATATATATAAGGATTGAAAAAACATACGAATTAATTGACGTTGGTTGATACATCAGATTTCTATGCTTATATATAAATATATGAGGCCAGCTTTTATAATTTTGAAAATCAATTTTTTCGTAATTAAATTGTAATACAAAATTGCTGTCACCCAGTGGCACGAAATCAACATTACTGGGTGACAAAAATCAACGCTGGGTAGTATTTTTGTTTCCCAGTTACAATGTTAAACAAGGCCCTGGCCCCGCTTTTAGAAGATTCACATTGAAAACCAAAGTAAAGATAGCTTATCAGTGCTCAAACGTCTTGAAACTGCAAAAGAAGAAATAGTATAAAATATTTCAAGTATTAAAATCGATAAACTAATCCAAATTGCTTTTAAACAGCTTATAAAACTTCAAATATAGATACAAAAACGACATTTGTCCGCCATCGTGAACTGTACTGGTGAGCATTTAACTCCGTTAAGAAATATTTATAACAGAGATAACATATCGGCAAATGTCTACACTTAACTATACTTTAATAAATTACACATAAAAACAATGTAAAATTAACGCTGCTGAGATGTGGTTTTTGTAAAGAATTATGAAAATTAGTTGAACCCCTCATACTTCGAATGAGGATGTATTAAAACAATCTGGTTATGAAAAGAGAAAATTACAACGTGATTACGCCTTACGTAATATATGAATTTAATTGCCCACTTGACGGCTATGCACGTCAACATGACTCATATATCGGGATTACTACTACCTCATTGACTAGAAGGCTTGTGTTGTTAGAGTGTTGCTATCAAATCCCATTTGGACTCAACACACTCATTCACTATTAGCCGTGAAATCCTTGACAGTAACACCAAAGTAATATACCGGAAGCAGGCCTAATTGACATCAATAAACCAAAAATAAATATACAACAAAAAATGACAACCTCACTTCCAACCCGGCGCATAACCAACAACGAAAACAAAGAAGTAATAAAAACTAGTATTGTAAATAGTGACAAAGAAGAATTTGATACTATCGATGAAGAAAAGGAGACCAAAGAAGATGACCAGCCAATAAAAAAACCTGACACCTAATTTTCATCTAAGTTCACTTTGACAAAGTCAATCTCCATCTAAGTTCATTTTGACAAAGTCAATATTTCCCTATATAAACAGCTGAAAGCACTGATGATGATTCATTCGGAATCGAAATATGGCCTTATTTGCAGCATGAATTCGGAAAATAAGTTTATTTTGAATTTTAATAAACTAAACGTTCACCAAAAAACTGTAGTGAGAAAAATTGAAAAAACGAACTACAAACATATTAACGCCAAACATTCGGTAGAATTTATAGAATATTGTAAAAATTATGGTCTATTACCAACATAGATTTATGAATAAACTATGAAATTTTAAAATTTGATGAATTTGATAGTGATGTTCATGGAAACTAAGTTTATGACCAGACTCTAAAGCGCACTAAAAATGTACGCCAGTGCTTTCGAGAGGCAGTATATTATTGTTAGTTGTTGATGATATATTTTATATCTTTTGACCTGCGTATTGACCTGACCTGGTTATATAATGTTTTGTTTGTCGTTGTGTTTCTTAGCTTCGTCAAAATCAGATTCGTCAGTCGACCGATTTCCAGTTTTTCTACGGTATTTGCGAGGAAAGGAATTAGAGTTTTAATTTAATGGCTTTTAATAAGAAAAACAACGTTAGTATTTTTATTCCTAGTTTTAAAAACCTGAGATCAGTTCTGGATTTTTCCAGCATTATTTATTTTTGTTTTATTTTTATAAATCGTTTACTTACGTCTTACAACATCTAAAACTAAATCTAAACTAAAGGCACGGTACCCGATTCTGTATGCTAAAAAAATTATAAACACGGCGGCGACCATTTTTGAACGCCGAAACTTGAGACGTGATTTAAAATAAATGGAGGGTATTGAATAAGATGTGAATAGGTGTAAAAGTAAATTTATTTTAATAACGCCAAATAAATTTAAATTCCTTTTCTTGATAATTGGCCAGTTAGTTCAGTGCCGGTGCGTCCTGGTGCATGGAAGTATGCATTAAAGCCAGTGCTATAAGGTGTGCGAGTTTGCTTTGGCGAACACATCGTCGAGATGCTATAACACATGAGAAATCCACACGACAAATTAAACGTTTTAATGCAATAAGAAATGAGTTTAAGTTGTGAGAAACTCGCACATTGAATTCGAAATGCTATAAGGCGAGCGAATCACGAGTGGGCAAATACAACATTTAGTTGATGTAAAGCGTGAGGATAGCACGACGATTTTGACGTTGAGTTGAAAATAGGAATTATAAGTCGTGTTGAACCTGCACATCGAGCTCGACATTGAGTTGCTATAAGGCATGCGAATCACGAGCGGGTAAATACAACGTTTAGGTGGTGAAAAGTGAGAATCGCACTACGAATTCGACGCTGAGATGGCTGAAGCCTGTACAACAAAGTTTACGCTAGTTTGATGTTACAGGACGCTGTCAACGCGCAAACTTTGAAGTTTATCAAGACAATATAAAGCATTTTTGTTATAGAATGATAATTTTAAAAATAAAAAATTTTTCAACTTTTGAATCATTATTTTAATTAAACTTTTGATCGCTTTCCTAATTTCAGGTTAGATTACCACCAGAGGTCAATAGAATTTTGTTTATAAAAAATCTCCCTTACAAAATTACAGCAGAAGAAATGTACGATATTTTTGGAAAATATGGAGCCATCAGACAAATTAGAGTGTTAGCAAAATTTATTTTCCATTTCCAGTTTTTTATTTGATAAGGCTTTTTTATTATTATCATGTGTTTTAATGCATGTTATAATAAAAAGGTACAACTTTTAAAAAAATTACTATAAAAAATTAATCTTTTGAAAAATATTTTAAAAATTGTTTGTTCATGTTGAGTTTGGACAAAATGGCAGGAAAGTTGAATTTGAACATATTTCTATGTTCTTTGTGGATTGGCTATAGCAATTTAGATAAAACTGAATTTAAAATATCTATAATGAAATGTTATCAAATCAAAGATGTTCATCCAATTAAAAATGTTTTTATTTTAAAAATTTCAATTATTTGTTCCTTTTAAATTTTAATTGTTTTAAAATCAGAGGTAACACAACCGAGACTAAGGGAACTGCATTCGTCATATATGAAGATATATTTGATGCTAAGAATGCCTGTGATCATTTATCTGGCTTTAATGTCTGCAACAGATATTTAGTGGTCCTGTATTACCAGCCAAACAAAGTTTGTAATTTTCATGTAATTTTTAAATGCTAAAATACACAAATGTTTAAATTCAACAGCACTAACGTAATTATTTAAAATCATTTCCATTAAAAAAATTTTGTTTCAGTGCTCGTTTTTTTAATTCTTACATTTATTATATCCATATTTGTAATAGTATTTTTGAACTTTTTTGGATTTGTTTCCAAACTGATGACACTTTCCAGAGCTGGATAAAAATATCCGATTCTAACACCTTGCTCGTAACTCAAAATTTCTTACGTTTTAAATGCTAGTCAATTTGTTGTTAATAATAATTTCATAGTTATCATTCATTTTTTCTTTCATTTTTGTGCCACAAAGCTATTTTTGATGCTTATGCAGCACCAAATTAAAAAAATTAGCTTAATATATACTATTTTCGTTAACAAAAATTGTTTTCAACAGCAATATAAAAAGACAGATGTGCAGAAGAAAGCAGAAGAACTTGATAACATGAAAGAAAAATATGGATTGAGCACACCAGAATTTAAATAATGATTAATTGCAATAATTTAACATGTACATATTTATCAAAACGGAAAAGTATTCAAATAAAAGTTTGTTTTGCACATTGATTAATTTAGGTCACGTTTTTCGGAGGGCCATCATTGTGTCAATATCCCATAAAATTGTCCTCATAAGATCGATGAGCTCTTTCAGTTCAATATTCTTCGCTTGAATTTGCTAGAAAAAGTAAAATGTCATTATACAGTATTAATTGAATAAAAAACCTCTGAGGAGTCAATTAAAGTACATAAAGCATTGTCGAAACGCCCATATAGTTTACTTAACATATTTTTATAGCTTAATTCATATAGAAAAATAAATTATATATATATGTGCCGAAGACCACATTTTATACAGTATTGTATCAATTCTACCGAATTATTGGCCTTAATCAATTTTAAGTTTGTATTCTCATTGGTGAATTGTTAAATTTAACCAAATCGGTCAAATATACTAGGTTATTTATCTTTTTCAAGCTTTCGAATTGGTTTTTTCAATCAAAATCGTAAATTTCTAAGTCGTTTTTATAGGTATATTTTTCCTACATTTTGATGTCATCTTCAGGGTGGGCATCAGAAATTTAGTTTTATTTCTTTTTCATAAATACATATATATATATAAAGCTGATGACGATGCTAAAACGCCGCCAAACATTCAATAGAAGAAGCAAACGTTAAATAATGAAATTATATTATGCCATATATGTTTGAAATGAATTGTTCTTAGCACTGAGGAGCTAAAGTTGTGCTTATCAGAACTAACTGAAGTTGTGTATCTCCCATAGATTTACGTACTTTTATTTTTTGTGTTTTTCCACAAAAGTTTTGTTTCTTCACTAATTTGTTTCAGGCTTAAAAAGTAATCCTGACATTTATTCTTTTTTAAAAGGATTAACTTTGGGAATTTTCTTATCAAGCTTGATTCTAGATGTTTTCTCATTTTTTCACTTTTTAAAAAATAGGACGTTAGATTTTGAACTGACATTATACACAATACACTAAATTTTCCAGAAAACTAAACCCAACAATACTATCAATGGGATAACATCTCTGTTAAATACAATTTGAGCAACGCAATGGATAAATATTAGCAGCAGCAACATGACAAAATGATATTAGCATCATAAGGGATATGTAAGAAACCTCTGTTAGCTTCGATTCTTCATCCGACCTTATATTTTGTGTTGTGAAATCCTGGCACTTGTCTTTCATCGGCAAATAACTCTGGAGAGTTATTTTTCAAAAATTATTTTAAAAGGTTACTGTACATTAATTTATTTAAACAATCCAATGATGATAAAGTATACTGGCAAACAAAAATTTGCCTCAAAATGGCAGAGTTGAAAGTAATAGGTAAAAATAGTAATGTAACTAAAAATTGTTGAGTTATAAAATATGGACTTTAATTTTCCAAGATATAAAACAAATCCTAAATAATTTTCATCAATATATAAATAATCATATATAGAAAAACAAAATTGCTTTTAGATAATTTTGTATATAAAATAACTCATCATTTAGATTTGACCAGAACTAACATTGTAAAAAATTTTAGAATTTTTAAAGAAATTCTAATTAAAAAATTTTTGACATTTGTTTAGATTGAATTAGATCTTAATATAAAATCAAATATAAAATCAAATATAATAATAAATAACCTGCAAGCACAACGAAAATTAAACAATAAATCCTACATCAAATAAAATAGGAAAATTAAGAAAAAAAGATAAGGTTTTGAAATCAGCCAAGAAATTTTTCACAAACCCTTTATAAATGATTTAAACATGCGACAAACAACATGAAAAAAATAATCATTTAGTTGGATGAAGGGTTAGGCACATCCTACTCATATTATACTTTTATTATTGAAAAGAATCATCAATTTGTAAGCCATTCTTTAAGCTCCAACTGTTACTAAAGCACTTCAACCAAAATTTCAACACAAATTCGGTCTTTTACAACTCCTACTTCCAACCTCAAAATTGACAGAATTGAGCAGAACGAGCCATTTAATTGAAATTTTTTTAACACACTGTCATACAAGCGAGGATTGAAACAACTGACCTTCTTTGTATAACTTGTTTGTATCCACCAGCTACATAAATACATCAACCACAACAAACATGACAATAACAATAATAAATCATGAGTAAAAATTTACCTCAATGGGCTTATGTTCCAAATATTTTGTCATATTACATACAGAATCATAGACATAATGTAGTCTTTGAAAAGCGATCTCTATTTTGTGAAGACTGTCTTCCAATCGACTTTTTCTTTCATTTGGAACCAGCTGTGATTAAACACATCAAATATAAAAGTATTCACAAATCTGTTATTTTTATTTAATACACACTCAGACCATTGAAAAAAGCAATTTATTTTATTCATTAAAAAAACTCATTTATTCAATTATGATGCAATGCATCATTTGAAATTAGTTCTAAAAACGTATGACAAGGCAAACTTTTTAATTTTTGAGTAAGTTAATGCACCTACATGGATGTGAATATGAAATATTATACGAACTTGAATAGACTTTAATTGTCCAAAAATATCATAGCTTTTATGCATAATCTCTTGAACAAGTTCTTGACCATATTTGCACATAGCGACAGGTGTTAACTTTTTAGAAGGTGATTCAAAATTTATTGCAATGGAAGAACTTTGATTGGGTGTTTGTCCAGGTGGAGCCGATGAAGCTGCCTGTGACATATTTGTGATTGACTGACTGTTTGACATCATTTTTTTTGGCTCTGAAAAATTTTTCAAAAATTTTTTAATTATAACCTTTGTCATGAAACAATAACAAAATTCCAAATCCACAGAAAAGGAAAGGGTTTAAGCATACATCTTAATGAAACTAAACAATATTCCACACAATTCCAAAAAAGAGTAAGCACCATCTAATCAATGCTGCGCACTGACTTGAGCGTACACACGTCTAATCAATGGCACACACTACACACTGCACGCTGACTCAAACTTGGGTGGCTAGAATAATTTTGGATTTAAAAAACTGCACATTAGAAATGATTCAAATTCAAACCATATATTCATCCTAGATTATTATTTTCTAATTTATTTTACAATTTGAGTTTAATTATTTAAAGCTCATTTTGAAATTTTTGACTAATTTCACTCACTTTACATTGTAAAGTTTACAAAGCTAACATTTTTTTTGTTTATTCATTTTTACTGCATTAATTGACTTTTAAAATACATTGATTAACCATTCGTAAATGCATTTTTTATTATTAATAATTAACCACAAAAGAATAAATAGTTTTATTTCTTTTATTAAAAATGCTTTGCTTTATAAAAAAATTAGTTTGTATACAAAAAATTTTTTTTTTGAAAAATCGTGCGGCCTGCTACTATAATTTAATAAAAATAATTTAAAATAAATAAATACCTACCCATGCATAATTCTTAGGTAAGTAATTTAATACAAGTTAATTCTTAGGTAAGTTTTTTAGATCATTACTTGTCAAATATGGCTTATTATGGAGTGGTTAACAGGGTTAGGGTTAGGGCCTCCATGATCCTCA